ATTGGCCCATTTGGCAGCAGTTATGAAAGTCCTTAAAAGCTTTTGACGCCAGGATTTTTTATTTTTTTGCTATGGCACCATGAGAGTGGCAGCCAGTTGCAGCGGCTTCTACCTACTTTCTGTGTTTTTAGCTATGACTTTGGTTTTGCTTCTATCTTTTTAATATTTTAATTTCACATTTGTGGGGGAACAGTGGAGATGCAGATCACGTTTTTGTTTGTCTGTTCTTTGCTTTTTTCCCGAGTTTTTGGGGTCCGTGTCTGTCGAGCCATTGTAAATTGATTTTACACTCGTGAACAGCTGTTGGCACTGAGCCAGGCCAAGCCACTGTCGTGGAAGAGATTGGACATCCCCGATGAGGTCTGCAGGAGGAAGAGAGGATGCAGGGCAGGAGTGAAGCGTTGGGAGAAGAGGTGACACGACAAGCCATCCGTCCCGTCCATCATCATGGGAAACGTGAGGTCTCTCCCTAATGGGATGGAAGAGCTAATAGCTAACAGCACTGACCCGGCTGCAGTGAGAGTATCAGGAGTGCAGCCTCATGTTGTTCACGGAGTCATGGCTGAATGAACTCACTCCGGACTCGCACGTGACTTTGGACAGATTTCACCTGGTCAGAGCGGACTGGAACTTGAGGAAGAGTGGTAAGAAGAAAGGCGGAGGACTCACCATGTATGTGAATGAGTGATGGTGTAATGCTGGCACGTTAGCGTTACAGAGCAGTGCTGCACAAAGGATGTTGAGCTGCTGTCGGTTTGTTTGTGGTTGTTTTACCTGTCGAGGGAGTTTTCGCACAACCTGGCGATTGCAGTTTACATCCCCCCCTCGGCTGATGCTGCTGCAGCCTGTGAACTCATCCATCGCTCAGTGTCCCAGCTGCAAACATCACACCTTTTAAAGACTTTAATCATACATCGCTCTCTACCACTCTCCTCATCTTTAGTCTGTATGTGGACTGTCCAACCGGAGACAGTGGGGCCTTGGACCTTACTTAATTATTGTTATTTTATTGTACTTTCTTCTGTGTTTTTGGATGCTGCTGTTTACAATCACGAGGTTGACGAGCCTCACATCATGATAAGAACGGCACATCCACTTCACCTCAAAGTAATGACGAAAAAGGATGTGATGAGTTGTACGACTTTGCAGCACGTTGCATTCGGGTGAAAAAGTACGATGGAGAGAGAGATAAATCTTCAGCCTTCATGGCATATTTATTTCTGGTCATTCACATCTAGCTCACAGCGCGACGGCGGCTCTGACTGTAAGAGCAAAATCACCCGCGTACTGGAAGAACAACGACAGGTATACTAGAGAGATGGCGGTAAACACTTCTAATATTACACAACAGCGCCTCACAGTGGCATAAGCCATTTTCCAGTAAGCAGAACAAACATTACAGAACTGTGGACATATTACTCATTCTATCATTTATATTCAACAGGATTTTTGATCAGATTAGTTTGGGGGCAGTTTTACCAGAGAGAAACCCTCCACACCATGTTTTGGTTTTTGTTCTAACATGCAGCCTGAGTTGTGGTATCTTCTATGCACTGGTGTGTGCTTTTCTAAACTGTCCAATCCCTGTGGACTTTAGTCAGTCAATTATGGATGAAACTCATGTGACCAACCAGGTGAGAGAAGACATCTGTTACATCTCACAGCAGATTAGGGGGGAAGAAAGTGATGTGACGAGGGATTACGTTTTTCCAGATTTCAACTCCATCAAAAAAGACTTCTGCAACCGAGGGAGAGATGGTGTTTAATGGAAAATACATGACAGGAGAGCAGATCCTGTGTCTGGCCAACAAACACTTAGCTGTTCCTGAGATGCTCTTCCACCCGTCGGACATCGGCATCCAGGAGACGGAAATCCCCAAGGTCATCTGAACTCCATCCACTCCCTGCCAGGAGAGATGCAGGCCCACTTCTATCAGAACACCGTCCTGACCAGAGGGAACAGGCTGTTTCCAGGCTTCAGATAGCAACTGGACTCCACATGTCGGTGCTTCTACCTGCAAATCCAGTGTGTTATTCATGGGAAGGAGGGAAGCTTCTGGCTGTCAACCCTGACTACGACGAGATGGCGTTGACTCAGGAGGGCTACTTGGAGAACGGACACTATGTCTGTGAAGATACCCCCATCACAACCCCTTCTGATATCCCCCACCCCACCCATGCCCACCCCAACCGGTTGAGGCAGATGGCTGCCTTCCCTGAGCCTGGTTCTGTCAGAGTTTTTCCCCTCCCTACTAGGAAGGTTTTTTGGTTCCTTCCCATCATTGTTGACCACAATCCAAAGGCAACTTTGGATTGTCGGGTTCTCTGTTCGAAATTTGTAAGGTCTTCCCCTTATTATGTTAAGCACTGTGAGATGACATATGTTGTGAATTGGTGCTATATAAATAAAATTGAATTGAATTAATTTACAAAAATTTCTAAAACATGCTTTGATTTAGTCATTGTGGTTAATAATTACAGATTAATAAAAATAAAACCCGTCTAAATGAATACAACATATTTCTAAAGTAGTACTGAGAGAAGTGTTGTTTTTTTTACAGGTTCAAAGTGTTCTATACGTCTTAGTAAAAGGATATCGCATTTCTAACGCCCAGCATTGTGTTGCAACAACAATATAACTATTTAAACTGTGTACTGTTGTGTCCTTGAAGACAAGTTCAGTTGTAAATACACGTAATATTCTGCTCTGTTATATTATAGTGAAGACAGTTTAATCCTGCACTCTGTTATGTCAGTGTGCCCTCTTTAGGTGAGTGAAAAATATTAACAGTACAACATTTCCTCATTACAGTTCAAGTGAGTCTCAAAAAATAAATAAACATTTAACATCTCTGAAAGTCTCATTAAACTCTAATCTGATGCTTTTATCTGCTGTCAGTACTACCTGAAACATGATTACTGGGACATGTTTTTTTTGATTTATCATGGCTCACTGGCTGCTCTTATGTGCTGTTTTGTGTCATTATTTTGTTACTGTGGTGTCAGACCAACTTTTCTTAAGACACCATCAACACTCGCACACAGGCCCAAAAATATTATGAGACCAATTAATTTTGAAACTAAAAACAGTGCCCATTTTGGCCAAGTTTTGCTAAAGTTTTGCTCTACGTGACTCTTTGCCACAGGTCTGTTTGTGTGCACTTCAGAGGTACATTGTCTGACACCAGGTGTGTGTTTTAAATGACTGACTATTTATTATGTGGGTATCTCCCACTAAATCTTCTTGGTTGTTTCCATGGTCTAAAATGACAGATACAACATTTTTAAAGAACTTGATGATAGTAAATAGATAAAAAGTCGCTGCTGCTGCCTGCTCACAGCACCACGGAGAACTAGATTAGTTATTCTGTTCAGTTTCATGGTGGTTGGCTTCAAGAAAGTTAATTTTGTTTCCCGATCATTAATAACCTAATTTTAGTCTGATTCGTGATGACAAAGATACAGAAAAATAGACTCTTCAACATTTCACAAACCATCTTTGCAGGAGTTTGTAAAGTTTCTCTCTGGCTGTTGAATAAACGCTAAAAACTCATCTTTGTGTATCACAGTTACATATTCACAAGATTTCTATATGAAAATGATCCTTTTCTTACTTTAATTGGCTTAGATCTAATGCTGCACTAGTTTCCTCTAGAACAGGGGTGCCCAATCCTGGTCCTCGAAAGCCCCTATCCAACACACCTGATTCACACGATCAGGATCGTTATCAGGCTTCTGCAGAGCTTGATGATGAGCTGATCATTTAAATCAGGTGTGTTGGAAGAGGGAAACATCTAAAACATGCTGGATAGGGGCTCTCGAGGACCAGGATTGGGGACCCCTGCTCTAGAACATGCAGATCAATGAAATCGTCGTCTCTCACCTTTAATCAATCCTCACCATTCGCTGCAGCCTGAGCACACCAGCTCACCTACAACTCTGCCTCAAACACTAAAATGTCTCTATGCCAAACAACGACAAATTGTAATATTGTGCTAATTGTGCCATATGTGTTTGAACTGAAAATTAATTCTGAAAAAGAGTCATGATACAAAGACAGGATTTATTTGTTTTGTTGAAATTTTACATGTGAAATCCTGGAAGTCTGAATCTGTGTTTTTGATCACCGGTACACTGCAGTTTTGAGGTAGAAATAATCAACCAGTGACTGCTTATTTCACTCATGATGTTTTTGCAAAACCTATAGCCTAATCAAAGGAATTCCATTTTCGTGTTTTCTTTTTATACAATTTATAGCACTGTAACTTTCATACTTCACAGAAGACATTCTTGAGTTCTCTCTTCGTCTAGCTGGGGTTGTTCTACTTCCAAAGATTTGTACAGTTATTATCCAGTGAAAAATGAGTTGAGAGCAGAGCCTCTCTCACCTTGAGCTACGATAAATGCAGGGCAATTATGTCACCATAGATACCTTTTTGAGAATGTGGAAATATACGTAGCTAATGACTTGAAAGCAAGTCGCCTCCACTTCTCTTTTCCTTCTCGTCGCGTCCTTGATGATCCTGCATTTTCTCCAAAACAACAGTGGTGTGAGCAGCAGTGTACTTGGTCATTGGCCATACAAATCCTGCATCAGTGAACCATCAAAAAATCCATTTACTGGCCTCTCTGTTTGCGCATCATTTAGGCCTCACATGAGAACGTGCCACATGCATGATTGTATGTAATCAACCCTCATCCACCCCCCTCCTCCCACCACCACCACCACCACCAGCCAAGCCTACAGATAAATAGACAGTAATTGGTCAGCGCCCTAGCTGGAGCTTCCTAAGTTTGTCTCTAATTGGATCCTTGAGATGAATCCTCCCTGAGGTTACTAATCAAAGTGAAGGGACAAATCTGTGAAATTATGCATGTTAGGCTCCCGCTGGAGCAAATTGCATATTCTCAGAGCTCCAAGCGGCACCATCACCGCAACACTGTAATCAAAATCAATCATTTACTGCTTGACCAGGAAATGAATTCACTTAACCAACATGTTTCACTCCAATGTTTTTATTTATCGCGCAACATAAAACAATATTGTGGGGTTTTTACCACATACACTATGTATTCACATAATACACCATACAGCTACAAAGAGAGAGAGACTGAACAAAAACACTATTTTTTTTTTTTTTTACATACTGCATCCTTGACATGAAAAATAAAGAACCAAGAACAATCCTAAAACTCAAAAAGGAATGTAGCTGCCAGTTGTGTAGGTTCATTTTCATTGTTTCTTGTATGGGCCAGGGTCCAAGTCCAAATTTGGAGAGTATTCGTTAAATTAGGTGATCAGAATTTTGAAAAGTGGGCCACACACAGTGAGATGCAAATGTCTATCTATGTTTGTGTGTTTGACAAAATATACAAGATTTTAGAGAAAGAAAGCAGGTGAGTAAAGGAAGTGCATGATTAGGAAGAGGGAGGCAGCACACAGTTCTTGTATTGTTCAAATATCTTAGCATTCAGTTAACATGAACATGTACAACATACTCAAAAGATAATTTTAATAGCCTTTGGTACTTGCGCTGTACCAAATGTGAAACCCAGATAACAGTCTTCATATAATATGATTCTATATCTCACCCTAGTTTAAATGAATTCAAGTACAATATGGAATGAATATTAATAGAGAATGTAATCAACTGTTTGAGTGCCCTCCTGCCCTCAAAAAGAGATGCAAATTTGTAGCGTCGTAACAAAAGACTTTTCATAAAGTCAGCACCAGGGCAGCTTCCCATCCTGTGAAACTGCTTTAATCAAAAGTATAGTTCTCTTGACATTCGAAGAGCTCAGAAAAATATCTGTGGTAATCATTTAACCCTCACATTTTTTTTTTTTTCATTTTGTTTTTATTTTTACACAGTGAATTTCAAGGTGTAGCATCATAGCACCAGCTGACCGACCCACCCCCACCCCGTCTCAGTACGTGCCTGGGAGGTGGTGCCTCCCATGAGAACCGTCCACCAAACCTGTGAGACATTTAGAAATTTACAAAGTTGACAAGATATCGTGTACACTGTATCCTCAGCACCTTTTCTTAGGCAAGTGTGTGTAATGTGGGCCGTGTAAATGGACTGTACGAGTCCCGGTCCCTGCACCAGTCAAACTACTGTTAGCCTTGATGTATGTGTCATATAATTATCATTACAAACTAAACATCTGGTGTCTTCCACAGGGGCGTTGTGATTCTTCTGCTGTGTGCTATTATGAAAGCTAGAGCAGATAATAATGATAGATACATCTAAACAAGCAGGAAGGCAGTGTCTTACCTGATAGTCTAACACAACTGACAAAGATTGCTGGGCTATAACTCACTAAAACATCACCTACTGATTCACCTCAGACTGGCTCTGCAGCTGCCAGCGTGGTCTGAAACATCCCACCCCTCAGATGCAGTTCTACACAGCAGGAGCAAATTTGTCAAGGACCAATTAATCAATATTAAAGGAATAGTTCAACTTTTGGAAATGCACTTATTCACTTTTTTGTTCAGACTTTGACTAGAAGACACCCTTTTCATTTCTCAACACTAAATATGAAGCCACAGCTAGCAGACAGCTTAGCTTAGCATAAAGACTAGACACACAGTGAACAACTAAAAGTAACAAAATCTGCCTGCCAATGCCTCTAGAGCTTGTTTTTTGAATCCATACAGAAAAGAAAAATGTTAGGAGGTTATGTGCCAGGGGATTTCTTGGCTGAGAGCAGTGACTATTTGGAAGGAACACCAACTTCAACTTAATATGTTTAAACCTTTTTTGAACAGGCCATCTTATGCAAAATCTTTTTTTAATTAGTTCTTGAACATAACTATCTGTCCTCAGTGTGTTATGAGAGTCACCAAATATGTTATATGTCTCCATAAATCAGAAAGTGGGAAGGAGCCTTTCAGGTTTGCAGCCTGTTGTGATGTCACAACAGGATAAGCACTGTCCCTGTCTGGCTCCTCCTCTTCCTCCTCCTCCTCTTGCCTCTTCTCTGCCACTCATTGAACAGAGTAGATGCAGAGAGAGGTTTGTCTGCGGCTCTCTTTCTGTTCGGGTTGTAGGCAGCAATAGCTCAGTTGGGTTTAAAGCTATGGACACTGAAACAGCCCATATGGAACAGGGTTCAAACAGGATATTAAAGGCAAGGAGAAAAGGATCTGTGCAGTATTTTGAGTTAAAACTTGAAACACATATTCTAAGAACATGGGGGACTTAAATTAACCTGTTAAAATGAGGTACAAAATGGGACCTTTAAAAAGGGTAAATACAGTGTTAATGAAGTGTAAAGGAGGATTTTTTTTTACCTGATGAGATAGTCTGCCTAGTCTTTGTGGTACACGAAGCTAACTGGCTTCTGGTATACAAGTGGGAAGTAAGCATACTCCCCAAAATGTCAAACTATTCCTTAGAACAACGGTTTAGATTTGTCCTTATGTTACTGACAGTAGACATCTGCTGTTCAGAACCACATAATCAGAATTTTTGGTGTTTTTCACACCTAAATAGAAATTTGTTATCGGCATTCACTTGTGATGAGAGTTTGAGAGAAAGTTTCTAATAAGTTTGTTATTGTCAAGCTTTTCTAGAACTCTCAAAGTCCTACATTTTGTAGGAATGAGGTTCAAGCAGAGAACTGCAACACAGGGGATCCTCCATATTTCTGGACTGTCGTCAGTGAGTAAGGTGAGTGTGGTTTCAGGTTACATAATTGAGCTCATGAACGCATCTTCAGAAAGTGACAGGGCTCTGTCAGTCACATGCTGACAGGGGGTACAGTACTTAGGAAAGCAAAACAGCAGTGTTACTAAGCACACATTTACACACAACACATTGGGACAAAGTGTTGTTTACTGTTGTTAAGGGCTGTCAGAAACTTAAAAATACCCCCTTGTCATTCATGGTTTAGTTACTTTCCTCACCAGTTAAATAATCTTACCTAAATAGTTTAATATTTACATTTTTTATCTCTCTCTTGAGAAAATTAAAAACAAAAAAACAAAAACCTAAGCTTCAAGTTGTCAATAATCGGCTCTTTCTTTTTGTCATTAAAATCAAGATTAAAAGTGCTTTTATAAATCTTTTCTTCTCTATGTACAATTTGTATTAGCTATATAAAAAAAAGACAAAAAAAACCCAATAACATCAAAGACAATCATTATCATCATCACCATGTAGTAATAAATAAGATTTAAAAAAAAAAAAAAAAAAAAAAAAAAGCAGGTTAAAATGAGTGTGGAGATCTAGAGCACACAAAGAGACATGCATGATTCTCTGCCCTCAGTAGCAAGTTGTGATTGTGACCAGTGTCTCTACAGCGTGAGGTAGAGAGCTGGAGACCCTCCGGATCGGTAGCAGGGTCTTTCACAGATGACCAGGGCCGTGACCCAAACAACCACCCAGCAGCTGGGAGTCGGCTTCTGTCGAGTTCTACTAGTCACTCAATTTTATTTTTGACACATGTTGCAAGTAAACCATGTGACCAAAATAAACGGAGCGATTCTAGTTTGGATATCAAATCATCTCTCTCTTTGGCTGTTCTTTTTCACACAATCATCCATTTGTGTCAGTTTCCGGACACACACACACACACAAAGTGAGAGATTGCATTTGCGTTTGCATTTGGCGCCGACTCCCAGCAGCGACAGTAATTTACTAAGGTTTCCCTTTATCTCTCAGTACTGTTTGCTCCGTGAAGCACTGCTCATGGGTGCACAAGAAATGCATTGGATGACTGTGCTTACTCTGCCCTGTACAGTGTACTTTGTTTGAGACAAAACCACCATATGCCACAATAAACTGCAAAAACTCCTCAAAAGGAACCAGTTCTTGAGCCCAAGGACAGAGCTGCAACCACAGGGCGGCCACGTTAATTGGCTGGCTCCGTGGTGACAAGGTGCCTGCAGAAGGACACACTTCGCTCTGCTCGAAGATGACAGCACCATGCAGAGGAAGGAGTGGGCCCTTCACAGTAAATCAAGTGTAATAGGACAGCACCAGAGTGTGTGTAGGAGCACCAAAAGCACTGCTGTTCCAACACTGTTTCCCTCTGCTCTAATCCAGGGTGGGCTTCCTAAAGGCGTCGCCACACTTCATTCACATTTGTGCCACAACTGGATAAAGATATGCCTTGAGTCTCACCCGTGGTCAGCAAACAGGATGTGAGATCCCCCTCTACTGGCCATGGGTGGTTAAAGCATCAAGGCAGAGCTTTACTGGCTTCTGAATGGATCTCAAGTGCTTGTAGGTTTGTTTGTACACACCGCTTTGAAACGGCGGTCACTGCTGCCCTCTAGAGTTTACACTGGGAAGTGCTCACCCCTACATAAATGTTATAGGAAGATAGAGTGCCACCTGCTCCATCTCTGTGTGATAATTGCAGATCTGGGTTAAATGGCATTTGCAAATAATATCACTTATTTAGCCTTTGTGGGGTACCATATGCCAAAACCGCCGTTTTCCTTGCAGGAAAACATTAAATGCAAGGGAAAGGACTTGCAAGATAATTCTTTCTACTTTTCCTTGCGCAACACGTTTTCTGCCTCCATCTCTTTAAGTGATATAACCCATCATTCTGGTATCCCACCTCGGACAAAACAACAAATATATACTTGCAAATACTACTTGAGCCAAATTTGAGTTCGAGCACCTAAATACAGCAACAAGTGCCATGAAGAGTAGCGGAATGAAAATCGGCCAGAGCCGGAAGCTGAGCACCAGTCGAAAGCTGGAGGGGTGTAGAAGAGTAGGAGGAGCGCATCATCTGACGGCAAGACAAACAGCAGTGTTTTCTCTCAGTGTGGTTTAACTGCAGCAATTATTAACCTGGACATCATTTTCTTTATATTAGCATCATGATGATTTGTTTTGTTTAGAAATTTAGAGCACAGTTTTGGCCTTCCAAACTGCCAACAGCTAAATAAAACCACTACTCTTCTGTTGTGTACAAAGAATATCATATTCTCGTTTCCAATTTTAAGTGTTTTTTAGTCTACTTAGCCACATCAAAAGGGCAAGATGGACTGCACCGGTGCATTACAACAGATGATCTGACATACACGCTACTGCTTTAACAGCTAGCTTTGTGAATCCTCATCCTTCCACCTTTAATCTTGTTTAACATTTTTGTAGACAATGTTTGGAGTTTTTGATAGCAGACAGAAAGTAGACTGTGAGTTGCGTATTAGACCATAATGATGCTGGTAGAAAATCTGTATACACTCATTGTGGTGGCCAAAACAAAAAAAAATAAAGCCCAGGTAATAATAGTTAGAATTTTCCTTTCAGAGGGCCTAAACTGGCTTTTATATATTTGTATACAGATATCTGTATATGGTCAATATAGAAATAGATATCTATTTCAAGTCTCCATTTTTGTATGCAGCCATGATCATTATTACTGTAACACTGATTTGCTGTCTTACCAGGCAGACAATAGCTCCTCCTCCAATTACAGCTTTAAGATTGACAAGAACAAAGAAAATCAAACAAAAAAAAGGGTACACATTTTCCAGACATGGAAAAAGCAACTGTCTGAGTACGTCGACTCAGACTGATTGATTTAAAAAAATATATAACCAAAAACAATCACCTCATTAATAATAACATTAATGAAAACAGCAATAATAAAAAACAAACAAGTCTTCATTATAATAATACCTGTAATAACAACATTGACAGTAACAATAGCAATCATAATAATATTGATAACAATAGCAATAATTAGAATCATTAAAATTCTATAAACAAGAAAAAGCAATGGAGTTCCTCTCCAGGGAAGAGAGAGGAAGAGCACCACAGGCAGTGTGTCTGAAGCCCAAACCACTGCCTGACATGAGGTAAAAACAATAAAAATGTCCCCTCCTCCCAGTGGACTGTGGAGGGGGGCAGGATGGAGAGATGCCAGACTGCGGGTGGCTGAGAGACATTCATCCTGCTCATTGCTCTCTCCCGCCCTCCACTGCACCACTCTGTAGCTATCAGTCTGTCTGTGTCCGTCTGGCCTCAGACAAAGTGGCTGTAGGGCCCAGTGAGGCGGGTGAAGGCATAGGGAGACACAGTAACCATAGAGGTTGTGTTGAACGTGGGGGCTAACCGTGTCACTGGCCCCTCCTTCTTGTCTTTAGATTGTCCAGGTCCTGGACTGGCACCTGCCACCGTAGCCCCCCACTTGCGTTTCTTCCCAAGCGTTTTGATGTCATCCTGGGAGAGGCCAAGAAGAGCCGCTTCCTGCTGCCTCTGCAGTGCTCGCTCTGCCAGCAGTTTCATTTTGGCCTCCCACAGAGCCAGGCCATGCATGGGCTGGTTGAGGTTCTTGTGCTGGTAGAAGACCAGGGAGATGCGGGTGGGGTGGGAGCGATCAGGCTTTTTGAGTGGAGTTGTGGCATGTAGTTCCCGACGGGCACATTCAATCAGGATGGAGCCATGAGCTGGTGCTACCGCTACACCACCAATGTTGGGATCCAGGAAGTTGTGCTCGCTGTCAGACCATACCTCATCCTCATCGTGTTTGATGCTCTCAGTGTCACTCTCAGCTCGGCTGGGGTCCCAGCAGGCCTGATTTGACTGCTGCAGGGCATCAGGGAAGAGGCGTCCTTCAGGAGCAGGGGAAGGGGTGCTGCCTGCTACTGAACCACCACAAGACTTCCAGACCTTTTCTTGCAACCCAAGGGGAGTGGAACATCGACTCTCACCAGTCTTGGACCAGATCTTATCCGGGTAGGCTCCTGCAGGATTGCTGTGCTTCAAAACAGGACTATATGCTGCAGGCCCCATGGCCCAAGCGTTCGGCTGAGGGCTAGGAGCAGGACTGGCCCAGTGCCTGGGGGTGCCTGGTCGAGGGGTGCCTGGGCCTGGGGTGCCTGGGCCTGGGGTGCCTGGCTGTGGGGTAACTGAGCCTGAGTGACAGCTGCCAGGCTGTGGTGGACCTGTGTGAGGGGTGCTTGGCCGTGGGGTAGCAGGGCATGTGGAGCCTTGGTGTATGTTAGCCTGGAGCACTGTGCCTAGGTGAGGGGACGGAGATGGAGAGGGAGGTACCTGGAGTGATGGTGATGGAGATGGGGAAACTATCATGGGATTTGAACCAGGATAGGATGCCCACTGCTGGGCGAAAGGAGAGGGCTGCCGCTGCTGAGGATGCTGGTGAAATTGCTGCTTGTCTGGGTTTAATGATGAGGCCTCAGGACTTTGTTTGCGGTTTAGATGCCCATCCCAGGTGGTAGGAATTATACTTCCATTAAGCTTGTGTCCTGGCCAGGCCACAGGCTGAGGGGTGGTTCTCGCTGTGTTGGCACCGATCTGGCTCGGCAATGTGCCTTCATAGACTGGAACATCTATGGGCTCCTGTTTGATGATCGGAGTGCCTCTGTTTGAGGGCTCAGAGGAGACAGAGGAAGGACGGGACTGGTTGTAGTCTGCAGGTTGGGTGTAAGGGCTATGGTTTGGTTGGCTGGTTTGCTCTGGGTGGCTGGGGCAGGACTGGGCCAGTTTGGCCTGAAGGCTCTGAATGTCGGGCTTCTTATCTACCTGGACGACCTTAGAGCCATTGCGACCCTCATAGGTCCTTAGCTTAGGGGGGAAAAGTGCATTGGGCGGGTAGTTGTAGTAGCCATAGGGCATAGCAGGTAGACTGGGGTGGTAAGCCTTTACTGCTTCGGGTGCAGAGGGCTGGCCAGTTGGGGGGAGGCCTCCCCTTGCATAGTAGGCAGGGTGTGGATAGATGTTACTGAATGGGTCTGCTGCCTGCACGGGGTATCCATCTATTGATCCGTTAAAGGGTTCCATCTTGATGTTGGGCTTCACTTCTTGTTTTATAATTGCTGGTTGTTTGAAACAAACGAAAGGTAAATTACAAACTTATCAAGTCCTAATTTTTTAATGCATTTTACTTTATAACGATTTATAAATCTGTGGATTTTTTTTTGTTTGTCACACACTGGTAGCAGTTTAGGGTTGAGGTTCAACATTGTAGACAACTGTGGATCCTAAGTCAAGTAATTTTAGGAATTACCTTGTAGTGTGGACATCTGTTTAACACAATCATTGAGCTTTAGAAGTAACATGAAAACAAGAGCAAAACAATATCAACTGACCTTTATTGCCTTGGGGTTGAGGGGAACTGGTGATGCAGACCTCAGTCTTGACAACTGTTTTCTCTGGCGTCTCCCCTGCCTGCTGCATGAGTTTACTTTTCTTCTTCTCTGAAGCAGCTTTCTTGGCCTCCAGTCGGCGCTGTCGACAGGACTTGGCAGGTTCGGGCAACTTGCGTACCTCACGACGGAAAGCCTGAAGCACCTGGAGAGCATTTGTTTGCATCTTGAGGCGCTGTGCCTCCGCACTGCCAAACTCATCAGTCAGGGATATTGTGTAAAGAGGCAACACATGGAGCTGCTCATCCTCAGGGATTTCCCCCACTGCACGGTTGTCCTCCTTCGTTAAAGTACACACCTAACAGAGAGTCACGGGGAAAGCAAGATGAATGTAAATTGTGCAAAACATCAACCCATTTCATTTATCTTATGAAGAACAATATGGTCGTAAAACACAAATTTTATATGATGATGACTGGTCTTACCACTGTGCAACCATTGTAGAGGTTGTGCTGGTCCTTATGAGCGTGGGCACAGAAGTCCATGCAAGCAGTGACTCCAGAGAATGGACGGCCTTCTTTTAAGCCCAGCCTGCATTCTGGAGCTTTGAGTTCTGACTGGCACTAAGGTAAAGACAGAGATAACTTTAAACCATCTAAAGGAGGGAACTTATAATTACATTTTCCAGTATTCCGAGGATACAGCACTTCACAGATATAATATTTCATACTATGATATCAGCCTAGATTTTAGTCAGTGTCTGCCAGCAGACTAATTACTGTTTCAGTCTTCTTGCTAAGAATTTATTATGTGACAGCTACTGTCTTGATTTTCTGGTGCACAGTAGGACTCACTGTGTGTGAGAAAACTCACAAGTGAAGTTGCTGGCACCAGGTTGTTAGTGTGTAAAGACTTGTATAGTAAATGTACACTGATGAAAATGTGACTGTACAACAAACCTGGTTACTGTAGGCCTGTGGAGCCAGACGCTTGTACAAAGGAGCCACCTCAGTTGCCAGATTCTGGAAGTTATCCCTGAGTTTGTCCTCCTGATAAGCAAAAACATGGATCAGTACAAGCCACGGAGTAAAAGACCAATTCAGTGGCATCATAAAATTACTCAGTTTCAGTGACTCAACCTTAGACAAAAGCAATTTTAAAAAAACAACTCCTTTAGTGCATTAATATATTACTTTATACTGTAAATGGGTAGTAATAATGTGATGAGTACCTCTTCAGGGTGATCTCCTTGTAACCTGAACTTTCGCGGCATTTTACTTCTGGCGTACTTACAGCCATTAAAGTACATACTCCAGGAACACCCAAAGGAGAAGGAAGCACCACAAGTTTCAGGGTCCTTGCCTTGACAGGCACAGGTACGACTGCAGGGGGAGACATTGAGCACACTCTCAGCTTCATTCATAAATGATGTGTACCTTGTGCATGTGTACCTTTACATCATGAATACACTGTATGTGAGAGAAGTATCAGTGAGGGAATTGTGACCAGTGTTTTACTTAAAGAAATAATGTCAACAGGGTAATACAGGCTAACACAGTTTCAAAGTCTATAACTATTAAAACAACACAAAAGCTGCATCAAAGCTGCTGACGGATGTTGCCAGTATATGATGAGGGAGAAAACATGACTGATTTTCTCATTCCAGGTGGTGAATGGTTCTCATTCCTACAGCACCCCTAACAAGGAGGTATTGCTATTTATTTATGAATAATTTTGGGAGTAAATGATGTAATGTGTAACACAGAACAATGTGTACACATCTGTTGATGAGAATGCACTATTATTTGATGTGCATACACAACTTATTTGTCTTAAATCAGTGGTGGAGGAAGTATACAGATTGCAGTACCTATACGTTAATGAAAAAATATTCTATTGCAAATAAAAGTCCTGCATCAAAAATCCTGCTTGGATAAAAGTGTTAGCAAAAGAATAGTTAAAGTAAAAGTCCTTGTTCTTATTGGTGTGCTATTATACATGGCATCATTAGATTATTAATAATGAAGCATTAGTTACTGTTGTTGTTTTTCTCTAATCTTTGATTTTTGGCAAGTTATTCAATCATTTTAACTTTTAGTGAAAAGAAACAGTGAGGGTAGTTTAAAGGGAAAAACTCACTGTTTGGTGAAGTTGTTGTCAATTCACAGACATCTGAAATGTGACCCTAACTACGATCTGCTTTTCAGAAGATCCCATAAAGGTTGTATTGTATATATATTGTCATATTATCCATTGTGTAAAATCTTCATCTTCAAAGTAACTAAAACTATCAGATAAATGTAGTGGGCTAATAAGTACAACATTTCCCTCTGAAATGTGGTGGCATAAAATGAAAATACTCAATATTCAAAATACATGTACTTCTAAAGTACTAAAAGAAGTGTACTTAAATATGCATAGTTACTTTCCACAACTAGCAAAAATTAAGCTGAATGCCTCAGAATTGCCTAATGTTACATATGAGAAGACTGTGGACCCTCACCTGTTCGGGTATTCTCTGTAAAACTTGTTTTTAGCATAATCTACTCAGTGTTTTAGTCCTCCTTAGAGTGATGGCTTGAGATCATGTAGTAAAGCACATCTTCAAAAATTGCCCTTTCCTCTCTTTCTCCATGTCATACATGAAGTGAATGTAAAGTTATGCAAAATAATGCTAAAATACAAAAACATGCTTATTGCTTGCACACTCACAAACTTATTTGTTAGAAAACCGGTTTGAAAATCTGCCCAAGGGCTACTCACTCATCATTGAGGCCACAGCGTCGGCTGGTGGGGTTGCCGTGTTTGGTGAGGGTGTCACTGAGTTCGCGGTACAGCTTGTCAGCCAGGCCCTTCGGGACACCTTCCCAGGCCATAATGAGGATAATGATGACAGCATTGGCACAGTGGTGGCCTGCACGATGACGCACCACACACAGCAGCTTCTCTGTCTCGCTGCTCCGACGGATCACCTGACAGGAAACAAAGCTCATGATGAGTTTTTCTTTTACTTATTTGCACAGTTTTAAATACAGACTTATATATAGCCAAAATAAAATGTCAGTTAAATTCTAAAATGCACAAAAATTTGCTATTTATTAACTCTGTAGTTACTACATTTGGCCAGCAGATGTCCAGCACACACAAATGCTTTTAATATTGACACAATAAGACACAGTTAATGGTTACACTTTATTTTGGAAAGACATTTAATGCCTGTACTGAAATCTGACCTGCTGTGGTGACCGAACACTAATCCGATTAGCCTATGATTCTACTGATTAAATTTAGCTGAAAAGTCAATTTACATTACATATACCAGTATCTAAAAAGACAAATGTATTTTGATATGTGCAGGCCTGGTCTCACACTTTCCCTCCCTCTGCCTCAACACAAACACACACCCTCAGTCACCCCCCCTCAGACAGACGACTGTTTTGAATCCATAAAGTCATTAGCAGACTGTGTCAGGGGTGGCACGGGAGGGGAGGCTGGGCAGTTGTTACAGAGGGAGACCTCCTACTGATTTGTTCACTGGGGATGACAAACTCGCCTGTGTGTCTCCCCAGGACCCCTCATTATACACAAACACACACACACACACACACACACACACACACACACACACACACACACACAGAGCATAAATCTGTTGTTGATTGGCTGTCATTGCTGTCAGGTGGGATAGGAAAAACATTCAAAAACACCTTTCTCTCTTCTTCACCCCCCTCACTTTAACACCATCAGGCAGTAACTGAGTTGTTGATCGACTGTAGCAAATGTTTGAACGTTTTTGAAAGAAGTGAGCCATTCTTTAACCCTCAGAAACCCAAAACCCATCGGCAGGTTTGAAATGTGTGCTGTCTTTAAATGACACCATTTATCAGAGGCAGAAATTGTAAAAACAGAGAGCATGATGAGATTTCCTTGAACTACTCTAAATTGTGATATTTCACAAAATGAATTTATTCTATATCTGTCACTTTAAAATTTACCAAGAACTAAACTCTAAATAAGTTCACTGTAATCAGAATCTGTAAAAGACTGAAAGTACTGCCCTAAGAAGTCACAACTGATTGAGCTTTGACCAATAGTCACCTGAAAATTTCTTTTACACTTTTTGGCTGAACTGCAGGCTGTCTACACAGAGCAGGTAGGAGAGTATGGAACCAAAATAAAAATCAAAGTAGTAAAATATATATGGTGTGTAGAGGGACCATTCTTATCCTTTATGAAGAAATATTGCCCAAGTTAAATCCAGATTTTTTTCTTCTTGTAAAACAATCAATCAAAAGAATACATATTTTTCTTTTAAATGATTTATGTCATTATGATTCTTTCATAATGCACAGAAAACATGCTTGAGCTTTTATTTAATTTTAGCCATGATTGTGCTGTTTTTAGAGGTGCAGGATTCTATACTGTAGTGAACAATTATCCCACAGTGAATAAAAATGTGGGAGTAAAAAATGCCCAGAAACTGCTTGGTGTACAGAAGGTTAAAACATGAAAAAGAGACAGACCTTCACCAATAAAGCTTTAAAGGCTGTTCCTTATCATTAGTAAGTTATGTTGAAACTTTTTTAAGTCATCATTCACATAGTGGATCTGATGTTCTCTTACTTACCCACTTAGCAATAGGACATCCATGTGAGCTCTTTCCCTCTTTGCCTGTGTATACCACCTTCTCAATCCGAATGGCATCCCCCTTCTCACCATACCTTTACAGACAGAGAGAGACAATTTACTTTTTTGCACATCCACCTATGCAGTTGGTGTTTGCAGTCAGAATGGCATGTAGTCCTGATGTCTGACTTTAGTGGCTGACACACCAACCGGACACTGCTACATATAAACACAGACTGCAGTGCTATCTGTGTGTCAGCACCCTAAGGCCCACTAAGTCGACCTCAAAGAACTGGCGCAGACAAAAGCTGACATTACATCGTTTCTTGTGGCCTCACATGTTCTGTTTAAAGCTCCATTTGAACACATCACAAAGACTACCCCTGACAGTCAGTTGACCGCAGACACGCTTGTGCGCTTTGTGCCTGTATTCCTAGATTTCCATGCGTCTTGTGCTTAACATAAAAATGTTATTAATTTATTAAGCTGAGCAAACTGACAGCTCTGACTAAACATGTTCAGCTGACCAAATGGTTGCTCATAACTACTGCCAATGGTACCACATTGCAAAAACTATGTACAACACATGGCTACTCAATAACAATTCAACAGCACCCCGTCATCTGAATACAGTTGGAAGAGAAAACACAATCCTGTAGTTGAGACATTAATCGATAGTTTCTTTTTGTCACGATTGACCCCATCACCAGTGTTTCTTATTTACTATGAAAACTATTTCTTTTGCCTGTCTTGCTTTAAACCTGAAGTATATGTCAGCCCTGTCAAAGACAGGCCAACTTCAGGAACTCTAGCTAGTGAGGTGTGTGTTCACAAGGCTCTGCTGAGATTCACACAAGCATGGCAGAATAAACCGGAACCCACTAGCCTGTGCACAATGCCAGTCAACACAGCCTTTTCTTGAAGATATTTCTGTGCTGGTGTTTGTGACATGTGACTGCATTTGCCTTTCTAATTGTTTTTTATTGTGTGTGTGTTTGTGTGTGTCTGTCCTACTCTTAAATGTGCGTGTGTGTACTTCTGCAGGCCTATTGGTCAGTGTATAGAAGGAGGGAGGGGTCAGAGGTTGCACTGGGGCACGGGTAGGTCATCAGAAATTGTCAGATGTCCGCTCACAGCTCATATCAGGTCTCCAGCCAGCTTGATACCTGCCATTGTGAAAACTTCAACCCTGAGCAGATTTGGCGTGACAGTGCACACAAGGGGCTCTTGCTGAATAGGAATCACCCCAAGGTGGCTGAGAAAGTGGGCGGGATTGAGCTCTATCACCACAGGGGTGGCCTGCAGGGGTCAGAGGTGGGTCAAAGGTCATCTGAGGACTATAGGGTCTTAACATCTTACGTCATCTCTCAAACAACAAAAAGTGCTCTTCGGCCTAACATCCCCCCTCACTCAGTCAGCCTGTGCTCTGTGGCTACTAATACCTACTGAAATCCAGGCTCTCTGTGGCTAGCAGCCAAAAGTGCGTGTCTCTACAAGTACTGTTAATATGATGTACAACACAGTGAAAGATATTGTCATAGAAGGTTACTACACAGAGCAGAAAGCGCATTTGTAATGTGGGTGACAATGTGAAAAATACTTTTTTATTCAACCTGTTAACAGTAGATGAGTGTTATGTTTTAGTAAGACAACCCAACAACATTATCATTACAGAGGCTGCAGCTGCCCTTTGGCTTTTAAAACTACTAGCAGGGAAGCTTTCTGATGCTCAGTCTTTTATCACGATTATTGATACACTGCAGATAAAGTAACAGCATCTTATTGGACTGGTTTACTGATTACTGCATGTGTGACATTAGTTAGAGATTAGAGTCCAGATGACCAAATGTTATCCTTTGCCTTGTTTATAAAACCAAAATACATTGATTTTATCTTCAATTTGACTGTGAGGTTATTTTAGTGTTCCGATTTCAACCATACTGAATTCAGCTTTTATGTACATTATTTGCAAGTAAAAAGCTATCCATTTGTATTCCTCCCCTTCACTCTTTTTCTGTAATTTGATATCCATCCTTCTTCCTTCCTTATTCCTCTCATTCTCTGTTGTCATCTGCTGTTACTCCTGCGCCGCTTGCTCTGCCTGTGATACGCTTATGATGCTGATATTTCCTGTTCCTCCTACTGGATTCTGGGTCACAGATTCCCTAAGGACAAAATGTGAGGAGGAGGGAAAGTGGAGAGACAGGAGGAGGAGGGAGCGGCAGGGAAAGCAAGAGCATGTGGGAGGAAGAGAAGAGAAGAGAAGAGAAGAGAAGAGAAGAGAAGAGAAGAGAAGAGAAGAGAAGAGAAGAGAAGAGAAGAGAAGAGAAGAGAAGAATGGGCACACCTTGTCTCCATCAGGCTTCGTATGGAGGCTACAGTAGGTCCAGATCCCAGGTGATTGTAGTAGGGCCCTTCATCTTTCTCCAGGATTTGTTCTTGGAAAAGAGATAGTACAGAGTGAGGAAACAACACAAAACTGGTAGTGAAAACCCCAAATAACACACTAAACTGTAAACTGGTATGACAATTAACAACAGATTGCATTTGGCATGTAGTGTGTCACGTTTCACTCTTCTGTGATTTAAACTAAACATTAAAATTGACACATAAGAGAAAAGCAGGAGTCATTATTATGTTATTATTGTGTATTGTTTTTAGTACATGTCTCTCCTAAAATCTCCTCAGTTTGTAGAACCTCAAGTATATTTTAAACATTGTTTCTCTATTAAAAACTTTACACTTCTACACTTGCGGTGACTTTTGTGGGGCTATCAATGGATTAAATATCTATGTCTCAAATCCAAATGTACCAGTTCCTAGATGTAAGTGTGTCTCAATCAAGTAGTACACAATAAAAGTCCCTTGACTTCAGTAGAGTGAAGCTTGACTTTGCATGTTATTACATCGTATTTGTTGCAGACTTGTGTAAAGGCCAAAAGCACAACGGATGTGTTTTGATGTATTTTTAGTCAAACTTAGAGACATCCTCTTTGCAGTTGAGGCCACATCATGTATGAGAAGCGTGAGAATGTACAACAGATTGCAACATTCAGTTCACACCAACACACATGAACACACAGATCCTCCCCAAGGCCAGACAGTGGGCTGTGACTGCAGGGTGTGGTCTGTTGGGAGACACTTTATAAAGTAGAAGCTCTTGGAGGTAGTGATGGATGACTCCGTATTTAGGAGTGTTGTGAGGGAGTCAGGGTTTGTCTGTGTGCAAGCTGTGTCCATCTGTGTTTATGTTGTGTATGAGAATGTGGATGTATTTGACCATTGTCCAACACATATAAACCACATCCTTCAGCACTAATCTTTGTATATGATGTCTACATTAAATGAAAGACTCTAATGCACTTTGCATTTCCTAGCTCTGGAACAGCTTACTGTGTGTTTTAAAACAGGAATGTCTGACAACTAATACCATGTTGTTCTTGCTTCTGTACCACACTTCCATATCACTCCTAACATAGCACACACTCTGAACAACAACATTAGCTAAATGCACTAAATGCAACAGTTCTACACTATCAGACGATTATCTGAAATGTGGACATTCACTCAGTAATGTGTGTCTCTGGTTCAGAGGCTATATGAGGTCACATTCCCCTGTTGGTGCAGGGAGTCACCAGGGCGTGGCTCATGGCAGGAAGTGGAGTAATCATACTAAATTCTTGTGTGAAAAAATTGTGTGTGTGTGTGTGTGTGTGTGTGTGTGTGTGTGTGTGTG